GGGCCGGCAACGGGATCGCAACCCTCGATGTTGCCCCCGCACCTCGCTCGGCCGGTGAGCGGGAACCGGTCTGTATGTGGGATCCGAACTCTCAGCGGGAGCGCCACTGCGCTCCCAAGCGGCGCACTGTAGCAGTGCGCCACCGGGCCGGCCACTGGATATATACTTTTTTTTCTTTTTTTTCCTTTTTGTCTTTTTTCGTGTCCGGCAACGGATCGCAACCCTCAGTGTTGCGCCCGTACCGGACCGGGACCGGCAACGGGATCGCAACCCTCGATGTTGCCCCCGCACCTCGCTCAGCCAGTGAGCGGGAACCGGTCTGTATGTGGGATCCGAACCCTCAGCGGGAGCGCCACTGCGCTCCCAAGCGGCGCACTGTAGCAGTGCGCCACCGGGCCGGCCAAACATTTCTTGTTTCTATGTGATAACAATATTCAAAACCTTCTCTTCCAGCTATCTTGAAATATGCACTGCATTGTTATTAGCTGTAGTCTGCCTACTTTGTAATAGAACACCAGAGCTTATTCGTCCTGTCTAACTGTATTTTTTTACCCATTGACCAACCTCTCCTGGTTCCCCCTCCCAGCTGCTGATTTTAGATGTAGTGATATTAGACATAGAGAATCGTATATTGTTGAGTGCTGGATTTTATCATATTCCTTTTAAGACTGTTAGACTGTTTTTGAAATCTGATTTTTTTTTAAAAATTGAAACATTGATTATACATATTTGTGGGATACAGAGTTATATTTCAATATATGTATGCAATGTGTGATGATCAGAGTAATTAGCATATTCATCATTACATTTCTTTGTGATGAGGACATTTGATCTCTCTTCTAGCCACTTGATAATATGCACTAATTTATTGTTAATTATAGATGCCTAGCTCGACTGTACACCAGTAGAAATTATTTTTCCTATCTAGCTGTTCTGTGTCCATTAACCAATCTCTCACTCTCCTCTGTCCCCCTTCCTGCCTCTAGTAACTACAGTTCTGCTCTCTCCTTCTGAAAGTTCAACTTATTATTATTATTGTTTGTTTGTTTCTTTCTCTTTCTAGTTGCCATTTATGAGTGGGAACATGCAGTATTTCTCCTTCTGTGCCTGGCTTATGAAATTGATTTTTTAAAAAATTTACTTTTAATTTTACGTATTCGTGGGTTACATTGTATTGTTTCAATACATGCATATACTGTACTATGAATTATTATAATGTTTTTGCAGGCAGATAAGTTATTTGTAGATCATCTTTATTCTTTATGGCTAGTTTTAAAGTTTTTTTTCAGTCAGGTTTAGAATGGCTGTTACTCTAGAGCTAGGTTAGCCTTACTAGGCCTGGCTCCTCTACTGAATGACCATAAATCTCAGACATGCGGCAGGACTAAGATTAAGACTATGGTTTGTTCACAGCATCTAGTAGGGTTTTAAACAATTCCTAGCTCTGTATTAGTTCTGGCAGTTCTTTGACTTAAAACTCTCAGTATCATGGCTTCACCTTGTTCAGTTTTATTGTGAGCTGTCAGGGAGCTCT